TGAGGGCACATTTATCATATTTCATATCTTATTTTTCAAGTCAACGGCAGTGTTTAGGCTAGCCATGCGATCAAAATTAAAAATGGCGTCTGGGGTTGGTAGACCAATTTTTTTCGGGGCTGGTTGAATAATTATTCAACCAACTCCGATGAAATATGTAGTTGAAAACAACACATAAATTAACTTTTTATTGGACTTTTAAATCGTTACGTGGCCAAATTAAAAGAAAAATTAGAACAGAATCCGAAATTGACGAGAGCAGAATTAACCCTGGACACAGTGGAATATATAAAAAATTGACAAATTTTTACTAATTTAGAAGAGGAAACTTTAGCCTGTTTATTGTTTAACAAAAGGTTCAATTATATTAAAAAAATGTTTACTTATTTGCTCCTTCTCATGATTTGACTCTTACTGGTACATGAGTCAACTTACCCCGGGCATATGGTCTACCTACCCCGGGCCAGGGGTAGATTGACTAAGATTTAATATTTTGTAAAATGCATTAAATTATCACTATTATACTAAACTAAGAACTAAATATTACATATTTTTATTAGGTTAATAGATTTTCTATCAATTAACATGCTTTTCTTGTCTATATACATTAAAACACAAAAAATATGAACTATTCAGTAAAAAACTAGTCAACCATTCCCGGTCTCCCCTACTCGCTCAACCATAAAATTTACTTTGTACATAAAATAATTACAATACGATGTTAAAGAAATTTAAGAAGGGCATAAAAAAAGTAGATTTGAGGATTTTTTTAAAGAAGCCGGAGTACCTATACCACAATTTAATTAAGAAAAAAAGGGTGATCTTTTGAAAAATATTTATGTATTTATAATTTGTTTACTCGGAACATGATCGCAGCTTGTTATCCAATGTATGTATCTACGTTGTTGCTTAAAACAGATTTTAACTAATAAGTGTTCATCAGTTCGCATAAACAGTTTCGATTTGATAACTAATACACCCAAAAAATTAATTTCGACTTGTAACTGGATATTTTTCGACTTGCAACTCAAAATTTCGATTGTAGATTGATTTACTCATTAGTATAAGAACATAGACTTTCACAGCCGGAGTCAGTAGGATCGTAGAATTATGATTCGGGTTGAAAGACCGTGGTCTATATAAACTTTTAGGTCCACACATTTCGTTGCCAACTGATTGAAATATTCAGCGCCCACATTGATACTGCCACAATTCTCGACGAAATGTGTGAACCAAATAATTCATTTAGACCACGGCTTTTCAGCCCAAATCATAATTTTACTCATCAATCTACGATTCAATTACTTATTAGGTTAGAATTGGATTAGATTAAGATTAGTTCAACCATGTAAAGACAAAAAAGTACACAACTAGGACAACACCCCCCTCCAGAGGCGTATTGTGGACTAATATAGATGTGGGCGAAGTCGCATTAGCGAAGCCCCTTTTCTTTCGTTCCCAAGATCTGCCCAATAGATCTATCCTACCGAACTTGCTTTGACACGATATACCTACTCATGATAATGAGAAAACATAAATCCGCGGTGAGAGGATATCGAAAAGCATGTAGATTTTAAAAAAGGTTTTATTTCGTAACTTGCATGAAGTAATGTTCTTCGGCTTTTTGCTTTACTGAAGTCCTCTAGTGAAGATTATATATTCCGTCAATATAACGGTCGCGGTCTTTGGAGGTAATTACAACGCGTTGTAACAAAAACGCTTTTAAACAAATTTTAAGTAAAACAAGTTAAAAGTTAAGTAAGTGGGGCTCTTTGCGAGGTCCCAAAACAAACACGCTTTTAAATTTGTGACGTTCTTCTTCGAGCGTAAAAGTGATCAAATTAATTGGTCATCTGTGGTAAAGTGTGGGGGCACCGCATTTAAAGGGGCCTAACTAGGCCTACTTCGCCTACGCCTAGTTACGTTACTGCTCATCTCGTTTATGTTATCTACCCCTAAAATTATAATCCTAATCCAATTGAACTTAAAACGATAATTAATTTGGTTATAATCGTAATTTTACAGTAGGTAAAGACAACACAAACGAAATGAGTGAATGAGTGTTGTAGTATATATACTTGTCCTTTCTTAAAATTGCCTTAGCTTAGGCTGAGATTGAGATTACGTTAGGTTACGATTCAATAACAGATTTACAAGTCCAAGTTTCAAAAAGAAATTATGTTTGGCCATTCTACGTCTTCGTTGTTAATCAATAACAAATTTGTATATTAGACGAAGAAAAAAAATACTTTATAACGTTTAAGAAAAAATTACCATAAAACTCTGGCATTGTTTCTATCAGTCTTCTATCAAGTGTACAGTTTTATAATAAAAATTTCTAAAGCGTTATTCAAAGCATTGTTTTCTTTATTTATTTTGCTTATATCAAAAAGTTAATCTGTAGTACAGATGTTCGATTGATCACGACCGAACCGAATTGTATTCATCCTTCCGGTTTTTCGTTCGAGGTACCTAAGGAAAAATTTTGAACTTCGCTGAAAATTTGCATACTCCTTCAATATTTTCTCAGAAATACTAGAGAAATAGTCTGTACTATTAATTAACATTTTATTAAAAAATTAAAATTTTCTTATTTAGTCTTTTTTGCTTGTATCTTAGCGTCTGTTACCCGTAGTGCAACTACTAATTCACATGCTGGAATATGTAATCTGGAATGAAAGTACATGTATGCACGCCAATATTCGGTTTTGTCCACTTATTTTACTTTTTTGTTTATAAAAGATCCGTAAAACATAAAAATATTTATAAAAACGTACAGTTAAAAAGTTAATATTTTTAATTATCAAATATATCGTTCAGTTCAATGAAAAGGTTTTAATTATTGATTGCCATTTATTGTAAATTAAATTTAGGCCAGATGATACATTTGAATTTGTTATCTTTATCCTAAGAAGATCGATTTCATACATAATACCGAACTAACAAATTCTCTCAAATGTTTCTTTTAAGTAACCAATTGTACTAAATTTATTTCACTATGTATAAATATTACGTCTAAGTTGTTTATTATGCAATTTTACTCACCCGTTTTGATAGACTTTCGTAGATAATTCGATTTCTCGGAATGATCTTCGCTTAAATTTTTCGATTCATTTTTTTTGTTTTCAATGCTATCCTCAACGTCTGTATTATCGGGACTTACTAATGATACCATAGTTATAATTTCTGATCCAGAAAATTGTATAAATTTGTGTAGCCTCTTTTGGAATCTTTCCTGTGAAAAATCTATTTCCTCTTCATCTGATGTACCATCATGAAAAATCTTCTTATTTTTGTTTTTGGCTGATTTAATTCTTCTCCTGTGTGCTGTAAATCTTGGTTTATCTAACTTAGATGGTACTGAAGATGCTCTAACTAAAGGAGGTCTAAAATTTTCTTTCGTTATATCATTTTTTTTCTGGAACGATTCTCTTCTTAACGAGGTGGAAGGCTTCAAAACAACATTTACCATACTAGATTTTTCATTTGATTCGGATGCGGAAGAAGCAGTTTTAGCGTTGTCAATGTCTTTAGTTGTTTTACATTTTTCAAAAAGTTTGTCATTATTTTGATTTAAGTTTTCTGAAGTAGTCGAATACTTTGAAGAATCGAGCTGGCTTTCAATTAAAGGGACTACAACCACTGCTTTACATTTACTTCTTTCTGCTGATATTGGATTTGCAGCATTTGTTGAAGGTCTTTTGAGCTTCTTCTGAAAAGTGTTTTCGTCTAAATGTTCTGGATAGAGGGGTGACATTATTTTTGGACTTGCTGTTTTATTCTCTGTATACGAACTTTCATCTGTATTAGGATTATCTGGCGTTAGATAAATGTTTATGTTTGGTTTATTTCGTCTTCGCTTCCAGGTTTCTTCCAATCTTTTTTGTAATTCTTGGTGTGGATGTAACGTTTCAATCGAAATGTGTTTAGTATTCCTGAAGAAATTGCGTGCATTTTCACTGCTCTTTTTACTTACAATTAGTGTAGAAGGTTTCGATTCAGAACTTGATACATCTTCAGTCCAAGCTAACTTTACCGAAGATTTCGCAAAATCCCCTATTCTACCGTTGGCGCTTTGGACTCGGTTTTGTTTTGGATTTTCAATCGCGAGGTCGAGAGAACTTTGCTTTTTAAACGGCTTCTGAGATTTATAAAATTGTTTTTCGCCATGAAGTGATAACTGACGTACAGGTGGTCTTTTTTTCGATGCCGCCGACATGTTCAGTTTGTATTTTGTTACATAAACGGATTTTTGCGTCGTGCGGTCTTCTGTGTGCACGTTGCCAGCAAAACTTTGACTAAACTGACGAAACGTGGTTTTCGACCCTAATACCAATTTCACTCATTCCTTATCGATTGAAACAACTTTCACCCTACGGCTTGGGTTTTTATTATTCATATTTAACTGTGTGGCACAACAAGCGCGATTCGTTTTCGTTAAAAACGACTTCATTTATTTATTGAGAAGTAAATTGCAATTTTAGTTCGAAAGAAAACACAATTTAATATCAAATTTACATGTACGTAAATAATAATAGCCGTATTAATATATCAATAAATATTCTAATAAGCTAAGATAATCTTCTTCGAATGTAAAATTAAAATTCATTACCTAATATTATCTAAAGTAAACGTTTTATCGAAATATTTAGGTGAGTTTTGAAATTTCCTTCAAAACGCATGAGCACGATTATGCGTAATGGTATAGGAACGTACCTGTTCGTTTATTTTATATTTGTTACTTATTAATTTAACATAAATGCAACAAGTGTTATTTTTTTAATTGATAGTACAGCCGTTTCTATAATTTAATTAACTATGGTATAATTAATTGCTGTGCTTCCAAGATTGAAAAATAATAGCAATTGAGTACATTTTTAAATCTACCTGTTACTAGATATTAGTTGTATCTAGCGGATATTTGACTAACTCTTATAGTCCAGTCAACCAACTCAAAAAATTCCCAAACCTCCGAATCAGTTCAAAAAACACCGATTTGGATGAAAATTGGTTTATAAGCTTATCATCAAAAGTTATATGCGTCTGATGTGCGCTTTCAATGTTTTGAGGGTGAAAACTACCCCTCTTGCGAAATATAGTAAACCTGTAGATTTAAATATAAAATTGTTTGAAATCATATTATTAATAATTGTAGTATAAACATTGTTCTCACCCACACAAACTACTCCTAATGACCAAAAAACAAGCAAAAATAGTTCTAAATTAATTTAAACTGCATTTATAATCAAATAAAATCTCTCGTATATCTTTATAAGTGTAGTTATGTACTTATATATTTCTAATATATATTATTTATCTTGTTAGGGTCGGGGGGGAAGGGTAAAAGCTCCCCTTAAAAAAAAGTAAAAATCGTAAATTTAATTTTTATATTCGATAAAATTATTATATGCACGGAGAGAAACAAACAATAAACAAAAAATTGTCTGCTCGGAAAATTATACGTGTTAACCTATAATAAGTCCATAGCAACTCTGGTCGTTGTAGCTGTTCTCTCTCATACAGCATCTCTAGTTGTCAGATAAAAGAGCGCGATATTAAAAAAAAAAATTTTTATCACTTATAAAAATTACACTCTGGGTTTTGTAAGATAATGACATATTACACATACTGATACTGTAGATATGTGCTCCAAAGCTGAGTAAAAAAGAGAGTAAAAAAACTAACATTCATCGAAAATATCATCGTAAAACGCGATTGGTTTTTCAACGATAATCTCCCTAATATTTAAGATATTGCATTGCTTAAAAAGAAATTAAAGATAATTTTAAGGGCTACAAGTTAGTCTCAACTGTTCAACCTTCAAAAATCCTTCGGTTTTAAGATATTTCGGTTTAATGGGTATAGAGCGGGGTGTCCTCGCACTCAATTTCGGACTTAAAATAGGCATATCTCTGTTAATTTTCACTTTATACAGAAAAAAAGAAAATATTTGTTTTCAAAAAATCTACATTTTTTACACTTATATTTTTTATGTATCTTCTTTAATTTTTAGGTTATTGTTACAACAAATTTTTTAGGCCCTCCGAACTACTATTATTGTACACTAACCATATATACTAACATACAGCTAGAAGGATTTTGTTAAATTTTAATTAATTCTGTTTTTTCAAGAATTACATTGCCAGATTTTTGATTGAAAAAACGAGATACCCACTTTATTTTCATCATATCTTCGTTAACCAAAGAAATCAACTTTAAAAAAAAAAAAAAAAGAAATTAAATGTTTTTGCAAGCATTTTGTAAATGGTTCTATTAAATTTTTTCGAAAAATCCATATTTTTTGGGTTATATAGCTTCAAATGCTGTGAATCTAGTGTGGCAAAGAAACATTTCCTTCAACACGTCATATCTTGGTTCCTATTTCACTTTGAAAGATTTTTAAAAAAAAATGGATTTGTTTTCTTATAATCTTTATTTTTTATTCTAATATTTTTTTTAATAAAATNTCCCGGACTGTTTTGTAGACATTTTTAAGATGTCCAATACTGTAGTACATTATTTTGATCTATCTCGGAGGGTTTAGCCAGCGTTTGCAATGTAAGCGCAAAAAAGTGTTTATTTACGACACCACATTAGAAACCTCTAAAGTTATCAGTGTTTCTCTACTAAATTATTCATATCTATTATACATATAAACCCGTTGCGCAGTTTTAAAGATCTAAGCATCCATAGGGACAGACAGCGGGAAGCATACCCTCCTTATCAAAAGTTATATGAGCCTGATGTGCGCTTTTATTTTTTTGGGGGGTGAAAACTATCCCTCTTGAGAAATATAGTAAAACTATAGATTTAAATATAAAATTGATTAAAATCATATTAAAAGTAAAATAAACAATTTATAATCGATTGCAATTTTCCCATCCTCACAAACCACTCCTAATGACCAAAAAAACAGGCAAAAATAATTCTAAATAACTTTATACTGCATTATAATCAAAAACAATCTCTCATATATCTTTTTAAGTATAGTTATGTATTTCTGAAAATTTTTGTTATCAAAAGATCTACATTTTTTACTCGTGTATTTTTTATGTATCTTCTTTAATTTTTTAGTTATTGTCAAAAAACATTTTTTTTTTCAAAATTTTCCAAGTATTGGACATTTTTTACCTCAAATTCATCCTTCTATCGATTATTTATTTTTTATATAATATATAAACGCCCTGAGCCACATATTCATTCACATACTCATTATAAACATCTAAATAAATTCATTCTTCCTAAGTATAATAATATGACATTCTGAATATTATTCAACGCAGTAAATTCTTGCGCAAAAAGTCTAACGTGTCACCTATAAGTCCTATCAGACGAGGCTGACGACCCCGCACCTATGAGAAATTTAATTGTGAAGTGTGACGTTTTGTATATACAAACGCTATTTCAACTTGCAACGTATTTTGTCCCGTACTACGTGCTGTCCGGCGCTAGGGGGATTCCCTGTAAGTAGGTACTAAAAGAAATTACAGTTTAGTAAGCAAACACACATCTTATGTTTGATTATTGCTTATCCTTATCTATACTGATATTCCCACTTACAAATCCATTTTTTAAATTGTATTATCCTTTGTCGTTATTATACTGCATCTTTTAATCAATTCATTTTTCTTAACACGCTGCTCATTTTCTTGCAGGAGTTACCTTGCCATAACGTCGTGGTATTAATAGATTAGTTTACGAAAATTGTAAGTATCTACATCATGTTATTTTCGGACTAACATTTGATTAAATTAACCAGTTGTTTGCACACAGAGGTATGTATAAAATTATATTTTTTTAGGAAACGTTAAACAATGAGTGCTTCAGATATGGATTTTGACAAAAAGAAATACATTAATATGGAACCGGTACTTCATCAAATAAACCAGGAGTGTATTTCCCTTTCAGATAAATTGGTAAAACGAAACAACGACATATTGAAACAGGTAAAAATGTAAAATAGATAACGATAAAATTAAGTATTACTAAACACCAAAATAACTTCTCTTGGCAATTTCCTAAAAATTAAAAGTTTGCTTTATTGTTTCTTAATTGATGATACACTATTAAGCGAACATCATTTGTCTGTGAGAGGAGGCCTTAAGAAAAAGAAGTGAAATTGAAACATTATAAAACTAATAAAATTAGTCACTTCAACATTTAAGTAGGTAAAAATACTTTACTGTTTTGCATTTCAAATGTACTTATAAACTAACGAAATGTATTGGTGTTAATTATGTGTAATTTATAATGCTCATATTTGCTACGGATCTAATATGTATTGTGAAATTTGATTATTACCACAACCAAATGGAGAAAATGACGTCGAACGAATTACAACTATGTTAACCATAGTGTAATGGTGTTTAATAAAACACTAACTCTATTTTTTTTAATCACATTAGTAGTTATAAACTGTATATTAAACATAAAAAATTCCTTACATATTGATTCCTTAATCTTCAATTTTTATTATAATAACAATTTAATTTTCAATGTATTTGTTAAAAAAAAGTACCTTTTGGATTAAAATGTAAACGGTACAGCGTGCAATTATATAATGTTAAAAATTGTCATCCCTCCCCTTAGTTGAGATTTACCTGGACAAAAACTAATGATTTTTTTATTTATTTACAATAATTGACTTCAAATACTAAATGTCCCCTTGTTCCATTTAAATTAGATTTGATACGATCTTGCTTGACCCCCACTGTCACAAATTAAAAATAATAATGAAATTTAAAGTAATAAATTACTTGTTAAAATAATAAATAGA